TGGCTAAAAGAATCATTGAATGGAAGCCTGTCAGCGGAAGAGAGGTAACCCTTTGACTGAAGCTACTGCAGACTAAAGCGTTGACCTTATTACAGGTGTGCGCCAAATTTGGAGGGAGAATATGAGTCCTTTCTTGAAAACATGAAGTGTGCTCTGTACAAAACGCCAACTATGCCGTCCCTCATCTTTTTCGGGTTGAGGACTAGTTCTTACCATTGTGTTCGTTCAGATATTCGCTTGTTTGTTTCAACAGCAATTCCTTAGTCTAATCCTCTTTCGTTTTTCTAGTCAATACTAGCAATTAAACAGTAAAACAGAAAGTTTAATAAGAACCGCTTATCACAACAGAAGCGACAGTTCCACAAAACATTAGTATTATTAAGCTCTTTCAAACTATTATTTGTTCAAAATGAATAAACGAAATTAATTCACATTTAGTTGGTACTAAATTATAATCGCGATTTTAAACTATTTTGTACTGCCCTAATATTTCGATATGAAAGACAGATAATTTTGCAACAATGCTTTTTTAAAGTACTCCAAAAGCATCTAATTTTTTGAACGATGTTCCTTAAATTTGACTGACATTGTTGCGAATTGGTCATAACGTAGAATATTTCCCGTCAGGCTGTTCCCTATGAGTGCTTGTTACGAAAAATTTTGTTATAAATTTCGTCAGTTAAATTTAGATCCGAAAAACGCATGTTTAATATAGTAACGCCATTCTGTCATTAAGGAAGACAAGTGGCGCCAGTACAATTTGCAGAGCGAAAGCAACATGCACAGGTTCGTTCAAGAGATGAAAGATATTGGAATTTCTATCGAGGACATGGTTTGTGGTAAGCTTCTGACAGCTTCCTTGTTTAACCGTCTCCTAACATTTATTTTTTAGAAAGATCTCTGCGAGGTCCGAATGCAACGGAAGGTACTGATATTGATTGTTCTACTGAACTTCTGAGTAATTTGTTTTTATGACTGGTTTGACTGTAAGAAGTTCGCGCATTTCAGAAGTTTTTTAGAACTGTGAAACTACGTTGTGGGCAAAGATTGCTATAATACGGTGTTTTCTTTCTGGTATCTATGAGATCTTATTCCGCAGTCGTAATCAATTCATGCATTCATTAACCTAATGAAAGTTTCTTGGCGAGTGTTTGCCATTCTATCCTTGCTTAAAATACTTAAACGAGTTAACACTACTGACTAATCAATCACAAATGCCTTGCAGTGTGATTAAAGGATAATACAAACGTGGAAACATTTCATTAATATCTCCTCGCAAAGAAGAATATGAGCTTTGCTGACCGGTGAACTTTGTCCATTATTAATCTTAAATGCCGTTTCTAACGATCCAAATCATATGTAAATGGAATATAAGCATGCGCCATAAATCTGGATTATTCTTGTTTAAGATCTGTTAGCCTCGGTTAATCATGACAAAACAACAACCTTTAATGCAGCATGACATGCACTGAAATCAGCATCCACCTATATTAACAACGAACTTTGCCTGAAGAATTTTTTTCTTCAACAACCAAGGTTTTGTCATATTTTCGATATGAGCAGTAATCTATAAAAAAACTGTCTGGCCTATTTGTTGCATTTTACTGTTTAATTTAAAAAGATTGTTTTTTAGATCGCTGTTGGCTCTGGTTGACCGGTCAAGTGTGTCATTTCGTGCGTTGCATCATGCCCTTTGTTTATGACATTGCCTATTTGCGCGTGAAAAACTTTATTCCTTTTTGTGACGAATCTTTCACGAACGTGTGGAAAACAGAACTGGAATATTTAGAGCGCTCGGGGACTACAGTTGATCAAGTAAGAAAAAA